TCCGACTCCGACTCCAGGTACCCAAAATTGTCTCCGACTCCAACTCCGACTCCACAGCCCTGCTGAAATACTGCTGAAAACCATGGCTGGAGAGGCGAGTATCCCACCTCGCCGCTGAGTTTCTTTGCAGGATTAGGAATTGGCGATTAGGGATAAATACCAAGCGGTTTGGATTTCAAAGAGCAGCGTCACACAGCAAATTCTCACGCGCCGTTTGACATAGTGTACCTGGAACATTCTCTATAGAGAAATATATATCCTTGTGAAATGGAATGAGAAGGGCATTGGACTCGAGTGCCTGCCAGCGATTTACCCTGTTCCTCACCCAAAAGGGCCCAACGACCTCAAAATCACATGGTAAGAAGGACACGGCTCTTTATTTTCAGAGCTGCAGCAGGACAACTGGAAGATGACTCAGCAGAAACAGATAGTGCTTTTAAAAACAAGAGGATCCACCCTCCCATCAGGCCAGGAATGCTATGTGGCCTCAGAGTCCTATAGCTGTTTGCAGAACCAAGGAAGGACCCATTTTGGGGAAGGTGGGGGTGGAGACACTCCCACTGTCTGTATGAGTTAACAGTGACCTAGACAGTATACATCATCCCATCCTCCCCCCTCATTAATTCTTACACATACCCTCCATACCTGTAACCAAAAGGTTGTTGGTTTGAATCCCATGCTCAGTACAGTAGCCATATCTCCATTGGGCCTTTGAGAAAGGCCCTTAAATTGCCTGAAAAATACTGCAGGGACGCCAGATTAATGGCTGACCCTGTGCTCAAACCCCAAACTTCACTCTCACCTGCATATGTGTAGAACAAGATGGGAAATGGGAAAGCATCATTTCATTTAAGGAGTCAGATTCCCACTTTGTTACCTTAAACCGCACCATGCTCACCAGCAAAGCCAGTATGTGCTACACACACCCCATTCAGAAGGCTCCAGTAAACAGCCATATTTACTGGTCATTATGAACAGGACACAGGCTGTGACTAATACCCAGTGTTTAAAGCCTAGTTTCAAACAGAACTTTGAGGCAGGTGACCATCTCCTTGTCAGGCCCACAAAAAGCATAATGACTGTATTCATTCGCTTGCTCATTGCTTGCAAGAACATGAGGACAAAGACTGGCGCCAATGGCCTTGACTTACCGGGGTCATTGTGGGAATGTGGCACGACAAACACCTGCAGGGGCTCCTGGTCCCACTCATGGCCCTCGTAAGTGATATCAAAGCCCTGCTTCCACACGCCGCCGTCAGGGTTGTCAAACGCCAGCAGGTCATACACTTCCAGCATCTGAGGGAACAGGGTAAAACGCGGTAAAACACGTGGTAAAAGATGCTCGACTGGCCAGTGTTAGAAGAGCTTCATGAAAGCTGCCACCATCTGTGCTTTTGGACACATCATGCAGACCACGCACAGAAGAACGTCAAGCTTGGAAGCTGTGACTTCTGTGAACTTCATTGACCTCACATACCCCAAGCTGCAGCCTGGACCCCAACACTGCTGATTGAACAGCACAGATTAACCTCACCAATCTCACCAGATTAACCTCCATTGTCAGACTCTCATGGGTCTCTAACTCCACAGACAAACTCTACACTCGGCACGGCATTAATTCTGAAAGACAGTATCAGTAATACAAGGTTAATTAATTTCAGGATAATTAAAACTGTTAACACGCTTATCTGAGGAAAATGGACTTCAACTGATTGAGATATAGTAGAACCAGCCATGATATTAAAAACTATCAATTTTACTAAATACGTTCACTGTGGGGGGGGGGGAAATCAAATTATTCAAATGATTAAACATCGCACCACTGCACCAAAACGTCATAAAAAATTATAAAGAATTTAAAAAGTGCCAAATTAATCAAAATAGCTAAAAAGCAAGAACCTAACTAAAGAGCCTGAAACTCACCATCCACAAAATCTCCATCAAAAAAAAAAAAAAAACGCATAAAACACTTCTAATCAACACCTAAATATTAGCTATACTGCCAGTATATCAACTGCAACGCTTATAAATTAACACAACACATAGACAATATAACCACGCATCAAAAACTAATTTACTTTTAAAAGCGATAAATCATTTGTAACAAAAGGAGATCCAGTGTCCATGATTAAATATTGATCAGACAAGAAACCGAATAATCAGAGATCCCTCATCCAGGCAGAGATGAAGCAAATGCAGGATTTCTCAGCAGCGGGAGGTTCCGGAAACGCCCCATTGCTTTGCGTGACATTTCCATCACCCCTCCGCCTGCAGCTAAGAAAACGTCACGTCATATTTCGGGAACATTTTCGTCAGAATGATTTAGCAGAGTATTTCATTCGAACTGAAAGCCCTTTATCCAAAATTAATACTATTGATGCACCAATGTGGAAATTTTAACCAACACTGATAACAGATATAGTTTTGTCTGATATTGCCGATAACCAATGCGATAATAGGCCAACCTCTGAGCGCCACGTATCTGTAGCGAAACCGATACCGGTGACGTTACCTCTTAAGAACCCATGAATGCAGGTAGCAGCCGCATGACATAACGCAGTCAGTGAAATGTTAGTGAAGAAGGACCAACTTTAAGGTTCTAAGTGCTGAATGAGCCAACGAAATCCCTCGTCCACCACTAAGGAAAATGGCTGACCAATGCGAGCGTTAAGATTAAAATTAACTCTATTGATCCCAAGGGGAAATTCATCTTCATTATTTTAGTAATAGCATCCTTAGATCTGGTGCTGCAAACTAAAGTCCAAATATTGGCTGGAAATAACTGACCCAGACTGACACATCATACTGATGCCCATGTCTTGATTGTCTTGACAAATATTGGCCAATAACGATATACTGGCCGATATATCATGCATCTTCTGCAGGAAGATCTCACCTGCACCCCCTCAGCAGACTTGGAATAGGACCTAGCTGCAAACTGGCAGTCCTCCGGCTGGACAGGGAGTACCAACGGGGGTGTCAGTACTGCGCCTGGCATGGTGGCCCTGCTCTGGTTGCCCGCTTCCAATCCCCCCCTGCCATCCTTCACCGACTTGCTGAGGTTTATGATGGAGTCCCTTATGTTGGAGATGATCTCATTGTTCTCTGCCAGCAGCCTCTCCAGATGATCGATCTTCTCCTGCAGGATGGAGAGTTGGCCCTGAGCGAGGGAAGGTGGAAAGGACAAGAGAGTTACTGGAAATTACACACCATAGGGATGCCACAAAGAGCGGTGACACAGTGTCATCTTACAGCCGCGTATACCGCCACTCAAAGCAGTGTCATCTTACAGCCGCGTATACCGCCACTCAAAGCAGTGTCATCTTACAGCCGCGTATACCGCCACTCAAAGCAGTGGCATCTTACAGCCGCGTATACCGCCACTCAAAGCAGTGGCATCTTACAGCACCGTATACCGCCACTCAAAGCACACGTTTCCAGCCACGAATAGGGTGCTAATGATACATATGATAATCATCACAAGTAATAACTTGACTTTCCATTTTCTCATGATTCGTATGGGACAAAGTTTCTCTAGAACTAAACTCAACACTGTGAACACAGCACAGGGAACGCCTCAGGACTGTGCCCGGACCCCTCAAACATTCACTTTTGCTTCCTGAAGCTTCTATATGGTGCCTTTGGGTGAGTCTCCTGCTGTGAAGGTGAATCAATGCCCCAGATTTACTTCATGAGCAGGCTGGGGAGAGAAAGCCTCCCCCCCTCTGACTGTACTTCACTTCAACTCCCTTCGATCCCCCCGCAGAGATTCTGCTGAAAAGAAGCCCCCCCCCAACCCCCAACCCCCGGCATGCTTTATAGCGGCTCGTTCCTACATCCATGCCGATCGCAACACTTAGCATTTACACGAAACAGCTCTTAGCTGTTACTGGAGGATTATTTAAAGCTTTGCCAAAACTCCAAGCTAGCATTGGGTGGATACTATTCCTTTAGTAATGGCTTCATTACTACCAACATTGACAACAGATGCTTTACTACAGTACTTTGAATATTTGCGACCACTTCAGCAGCTGCTGACTCATTGTCCTGGCGCTCAGTAAGGAGGAACAGTGCGATCCAGGCAATGCTTGATGGAGCCTCATTCAGCTCTTGCTTTAATGCCTCTGTTCACTCAGGGATATCACCCATGCAACAGCTTTGCTTCTCAGCTACTTGAGAAGGATCATCATACAGAAGGACCGCCATATTTATCCTTCACACGCCATCCACTGCTAAAAAGTTGCAGTTTATTCTCTCTTCCATTTCTGAGGTGGTGTGCGACTCAACAGGTTAGGACTCTCTGGCTGTAAACGGAAGGTCGCTAGTTCAAATCCCAGGGTCAGCAGAGTGATGTCACAGCTGGGTCCCTGCTGTTTAGTGGGGCCCTACGTGTCTAATCTCTGTCTGCCCCAAAAGTGCAGGTATATAATGAAAGTGACTGCATGTTCATAACTGCACGGTCACCTTTTCTTGCGCAAAGCTTTAGTCAAGGTTTTAAAACGTACAAAAAAAAAAAAAACAGTAATTTTTTAAATTAGGGAAATGTGAGCATTCGACCACACTTGTGTCAGCCACCGTAATGCTAATGCTACGTCCTTATACAAAATTAGTTATGGTTACATTCACAAAATAACCCATTATATACATATGAAAAAGGTTAAAAATGACAAATTAAGACAACTACTAGAAAATAGAAAATGATAAAGAGAAAGGATTAGGAGAAAATGATGCTTAAATGCACTCAAAAGCGGCTTCGCAAAACTTGACGACGGTTAATTCTATTGTGGCAGTGAAATGACAGAAAGGTGCAAATAGACACAAGCGTTACTGCCAAACAGGATACATCTGCTGTTTTGATACCACTTAATAAGCCCTACAAAGAAGCCAACAGCTCTGTATCCAGTGCATTTTAGCAAAGAAAAGAGATAAATTTCACAATATTCACTTAATGACATCTAACCCTTCCCAAAGCGCTTTTCTGACAGGCTTCCAAGAACTGATACACTGGAAAATTAAGCATGTCAATAAATAAATAAATAAATAAATAAATAAATAAATAAATACCAGTGAGCTTTCTTGACTTTATTTGCAGTTCTCCGTCACTAGGTCACTCAGTCACAATGTTATGCACGGTGTTTTATCAGGGGACGGCACCTCCATAGCATAACTTGATAATGTCAGCACACAGAACTAATCCTAACATAAACTCACAGCATCTACGGCGAACAAGAGCATGTTTGCTTAAATGATAAAGCAGCTGGAATCACAGCCAAACGGTGGAGGCACCAAGGTCGGATTAAAAAGGGCACGTAGTTAGCCCACAGCACGCTAATTTCCACACTGCTAATGACACGCCGTCGCAGCTTCTGCTTATACGACTGTCTTGTTCAAAGTACCAAGCTAGGAGAGTACTGTATCTCTCTGAGCACCGGAGAGAAGGGCGTCATTTTGGATTCAACACTGAGGGGCTGCAGTCTCTACCGATTTTGTGATTATTGGGGGTGGGTATATTGGTTGTATTTGCTGGTTTTTTGGGGGTTATGACCCCCCTCTAATTTACACCTATGCCAGGGAACATCGCCTCCATGTCTAACTCACTGAGCTGGTTTGTAACTGGTCTATAATGGAAATACAATTGAAACTGCTGGGGTTTGAATGTGAACACAGACACACACAGACACACACAGACACACACAGACACACACAGACACACACACACACACACACACAAAACAGACTTGTGGGCGACATTTGAGTTTTAAACATGAAGCGCATTATCCGAGAACAATGTGGAAACCAAATTCCCTCTTCACTTTGTTCCTTGTCACAAGCCCGGTAATTCAGGATTAGGACAAAAGACCTGCCTGTCAAAATGTATTCAAGCAGTGTTCCCCCACCCAGTCCTCAGGGACCCCCACACAGTTCACATTTTCGCTCCCTCCCTGCTCCCAACACACCTGCACCAAGTCCATGACTGATTTTTTGGTACAGGTGTGTTGGGGATTGTCTGACGCTCCCAGAGAACTGGGTTGAGTAACATTGTATTAAACCAAAACAAACATCTTAAAAGTGCAACTATTGCATTGTCAAGGCAAGTATTAATATTTGGGAGAGTGTTTTGAGTGAGTCTTCAAGAGGAGGTTCAGTTTGGCAGGATTCTCTCTCTCTCTCTCTCAGCAGAATTGCAGTTTCCAAACTGTGAGAGGTCTAAGGTTCAACGGTCAAGAAGAACACACAGGAAAAGAGACATATAACATCGTAACATTGAATGAAGCGAGACTAGGTCAGCCTTGGTGGAAGGCTGGTAGATAATCAGAACTGTTACGCAACACTGGCCAGAGAGTGGTTCTAAAAACAGATCAGGGTCATTATTGAAAAGCAAAACCAACTTTACATCCATTTAGAGCGGTCATGATTACTTGATAAAACGATTACCAAAAAAGCATCAATGAAAAATCTCCTTCTTGATTACTCAACAATCTGGCATAAGGGAGAAGGCACATAGCGGATGAGGGTGAAATTAAAGAGCAAAAACATCAGTTTTGTGGAAGCATTTCACATTAAAATAGAATGAAAATGCAGTTGTTTGTTAGTCTTACAAAGGTGAAAAATATCACCACAGCATGAGTGCAATACAGATATCTTGAAGAATCTGGGTCTGATGGACTGACCTAAAAATGTGAGATTAGCTATAGATATGTCCCATTTAGCCTCTCGGAATAGCATAGCCGTCTTTTTCACACTTTGACTTTAATTCAGTTCGCATAATTTACTTTCTATGATTCTTGTATGCGGGGTGGCGTGGTGCCTAGCACTGTCACCTCACACCACTGGGACCTGGGTTTGAGTCTCCGCTGGGGTTCCGTGTGTGGAGTTTACACGTTCTCCTCGTGTCGTTTCCTCCAGGTACTCCGGTTTCCCCCCACAGTCCAAATAACATTCTGAGGCTGACTGGAGTTAACAAATTGCCCATAGTTGTGTGTGTGTGTAAGTTTACCCTGTGATGGGTTAGTGGCCCATCCTGGGTTGTTCCCTGCCTTGTGCCCATAATCCCTGGGATAGGCTCTGGACCCACAGAACCCTGAATAGGATAAGTGGTTACAGACAATGGATGAATGGATTCCTCTGTCAAAATATTAATAATCACTGCTAAAACAAAAGTTAGCTGTGTCATTTAACCACACCATCTTACATAATATGGTACATATTAACCATATAATTAGTTTTTGCAGACATATTGTGTGTTTGGCTTGTGGTTGAATGATATTGGATATTTTTACAAAAATTAAAGGGTTGAAAATGAACTATATAGCCAAATAGAACTTATCCACCAAAAAAGTCTGTCAAATGAGTTAGTGGTATTAGCGTTAGTTGTTTTATCTCTCACGAACGTGGTGCACAGTCTGACAGAGTCAAACAGCAAAGAGAAAATAATCAGGACCGTCTAAGAGAGCAAATTTAGAGCTCATGCAAAAGCAAAAACTGTGGACTGATTTATTTAAATTTTTTTTAACATATTCTAGATAATTTTGAAAAGGAATCATCGTTAGAATTGCCAAGCTTGCTAAATCTTCTTTCTTTGGCTCACCAAAGATGTTTTAGCGCTACGTACCGATGGGTTAAAGCCAGCAAATTATCACGGTCCTTGCAATGTGATAATCGCATGTGCATGAAATGTGATGTCAGTATTAACCTTGCACATCATACAAGCCTACCAGGGTGGCACTATGTCGCAGGGGGTGGCACTATCACTGCACACCACCGCTTTGTTTATATAATTTTCATTTTCACCTCGTGCAGGCGTGGCTTTTTGGCAGTCTCTGGTTTCCTTCCACTATCCAGAAACATGGAACTTAAATGCCTTAAATTGACCATATGTGTGACCCTGCAATGGCTGCTTGGTTCCTGCCTTATGTCAGCTGCAATGTATATCATAAATGATTACTCGATGAATCATCAAATTAATCGGTAGATTACTCGATTATTGATATAATCAAAAGTGACATTCGATAGTACATTCATTCAGGCCCCTCTGGTGCAAATGCCACCAGGAATTATACATGATTCTTTACTTGCGGGAGGAAATGGTAAGCAGACAATGAAATGATAGGAAGCATGAGACCATTTAAAAATCTTTTTGTTTGCAACTACACGCAAAAAAAAAAAAAATCTTCCAAGGCTGTAAGGTTCAGGGCACTCTCTAAGGACATGTCTAGTAGAAAATATGCCAGTTAAGACAACTAGAGCTGTAGGTTTTAAAAGTCTTCTCTTCAAATACGAAAGATTTCACAGATGTTTGTTACGTGAAGGAACCATTTTGAGCATGAGTGATTTAACATGCAAAACATGCAGAGTAACAGCAGCAAGGTCAGAAGTCCCCGGCCTACTTTAATGTTTGGGTAATATTTGAGATAATGCACAAACTTAATTTATACTTCACAGCAATTTATGTGATGACCTAACAATCGAGTACTTGTTCATGACTGGTTTATGCATTTTGTAAAAGCTACTTGGTTTCACAAAAAAGAAAAATAGGCAGTGTTAAGACCTCAAAACATCCATGAGAATGTGCCCAAACAGAGTTCATGACTCACGTTACGCGTTTATTAATTACATGCAGCTCAGATCTAGTTTCTACTGTACATAAACAGATGGTCCTCGCCTAAATCAAAGGATTTGAAAGGGAAGAGGACTGAGAGTTTAAATTAGTTTAAACGGATCATACTCTCTGAGAGGTATAGACAACGTACCAGACCAAGGACGTGTGTTAAATGGTTATCAACAGATCTACAAAAAGGTTCCTCCATTTACAGAAGGCTACTGTTGTTACAAATAGCGTTAGCCTCAGGTTGGCTAAGTTATTGCTTAGACTAACAGAATCAACTAGAACATCAACTACGGTAACACTGTCATTAGAAGGGCTGTAATTTATTTTTTTATGCATTTACTTAACATATCAAAAATACGCAACATTAATTATCTCCAAAGGAGAAACACCAACACACCACTGGAACAACAGTGGGAAGAAGTTCATTTTGCATAGGAGCTGATAGCAGGGTTAAAAAAAAAAAACATACAAGACATCTTAGAAGGTGCAGCAAGGAACCATATTGCATATGCAGCGTGCAGGATATTCGTGTATACGTTATAGAAGCTCACTGACTTTAAATTCCGTGTCAGGAACCTAATGAAAGTTCCGGTACTTCACGTTTACTGTACGCAGTTGCTGTGTTTGGCGAGGTGTAACACTGAAGGGTGACTAACTACTTCACGGACATCCAACTGACAAGTACAGTATAATAATAAGCTACCCTAATACCATATTGTTACTCTGACTGCAATCAGTCTTTTCCTTACTTTATTTCAATGAAGCGTACAGTGTACATTAAAAATCCACCGTAGACAGACTCACTATTTGAACAGGTCCTGCATTCTTGTTTACTCCCACTAAACTATAACAATAATAACAACAATATTAAACATTTCGCTTTGTTGTACGCAAGAAAACAATCAGAAATGTAGTTTAATTTATAATGACAGCGTAATCGCCAATAGAGTCGGCACACGTGTACTTTGGGTTAGCTAGTTAATATGTAACACTTGGAAGTTGATCGCTTTCATAATACGACCACAAAGTTTTCAAAGCTTATGGCTGATTCGGTTACTCACGTTTTGAAGTTTGCCCACGTTGTTGCTGGGGTTTTTGCTGTGGTCTAATTGGAGATGATCCAGCATTAGGTACAAGGAGAAAACCACCACGCAGAATATGGCACTGCCGAAGACGGTGAACTGCCGGCTCAGCTTCATCCTCAGCTGGCGTCGGGGAGCCGAAAGAGGCGAAAAAAGTTCATATAAAACTGCAAGATCACAAGTCACATGCACAGCGTGAAATTAGGCTAATAGTTAATGCCTTGGCTCTTTTCCTTTGAAGGAAATAGTGGGAAAAACAAAAGAAAACTGACAATTCAGAAAAGCACCACTGCGGTATGAGACTTTTGAACAAGGCGTTACTAAATATTGTCCATGTTCAGGCTCCACGAACAAACTTTAAATCGCTGACAGAAGAAGAAGTAGCCGGGAAAGACGAGCCAATCACCCACTTTCACTGCCATGCGGAAGGGTTCATCGGATCCACCGAACTGAGCTGGTAAACCGCTCTGCCTTAACTCTCTTCCTGTATTTATCTAGCGTGAGCGGCCGAGGAAGTGTGCGCCAAGGTGGCGAGGGTGGCGCCGCCTACAGCCCGCACCTTACAGTCAGACCGGCCAGGTGAGGGGCCGTCGGCGACCAGTCAAGCTGACCGATAACCAGCTTTACCAATTTCCTAGTGGGAGATTCATTATAAACGTGATTATGTATTCACCCCTTCGCTTTCCAGAAAACACATTTCTAATGCACTTATAAATATAAAGTGATAGCGAACTTTAAATCTATGAATGGCATGCACAGTTTAAGAAATCACTCGGAGCGTTTTGATGTGTTTTACGGCACAGGAAATGTCAGTTAAAAAGAAACTTAATCCGTTCTTGTTTTTGTAGGGGTCCCTCTTCCTTCCGTTGGCTGTGTTAACAAACCCTAGCTGGAGCCAGTTTCAAAAGTATTGCGATTGTCCCTCGATCGCGATGAAATCCTTCTCAGGCGTAAAGTGACGCCACATGTCGACCAAACGGGAAGACTGCAAGTGCCGTGGCAGTACGCGCACCATTTCCCGGCGTCATTCAGTATTCCGTATTCCTACAGGTTTTACTTTTAGATGTGCAATTTACGCCCTCTTATCCCTCCATACTTTGACGGTAAATCATGCGTGTTTTCCCCTTGATCTCCCGCCCGGTTATCCGCGACGTGCGATCCAGGCTGGATTTTAAGACAGGATCCCAGTGACTTTGCCCATCAGCGTTATTGCAATGCACCCGTGAGCTTGGCAGCTGACTTCCAGCATCTGCCTGGCAGGGGAAAAATAAAAGCCCCCCCAGTGAAAGTGTACCCCCGCCTCCCGTGACATAACCGAGTGACGCAGATGGAGAGCAGCACCAGAGCACATTAACTCCTTATATCTTACATTAACTTAAGACCCCGCCTGCCGCCGTTACTGCTCGGTTTGCATGCTGGACTTCGGTGACTTACAGAAGCATTTAAAATAAATAATTATGACCAAACTTCCTGCTAAGATGACCTATTCTAACTTCATGTCACAATATAGCATTAAACTGTTTATACTCAATTTAAATTTTAATCTAGTTCTTGTTGTCAACGCGTCCATTCACAAATGAAAATGTACTCATTTGAAGCCTTGTGTGAAAATTCGTCTGATTGCATTAAATCTATGTAAAAGGATACTTACTATAGCGTTTTTTTTCTTCTGTTTGTAGCTTGTTCTGTGTCTTTATCTTTGATACATGCATATAACCCCATGGTACTTGTAATTTGGCTTTATTGTATACTAGATTTGTATTAATAAAAACATGCATTTTATTAGTGCCCATAAGTCTCTGTAGTGTCTGCTGGGAATACAAACAGACATAGATTCCCTCCTGCACAGATGTCTCACAACACACATATCTGTTTAATGACTGAATCATCAGGCACAGTGCAGCCAAGGATAAACAATGTATACAGCATAGTGATATTTTATTAATCCCTGTGGGCAAATTCTCTTTTTGTCTGTCCCATCTTGCTCTCTGCACAGACCGGTGAGAGCAAGTTTGGGGAGTCATGGTTCTGAGTCAACCAGCGTGCAGAGCCCCTGGCACTGGGGGTTAAGGGCTTTGCCCAGGGGCCGAATAGTGGCATCCGTCCTGGATTTGAACTGGCAGCCTTCTGAAGTCAGACAGAGTCCTATGCTGCTGAGCCTTACACCGGTGGGGCCTGCTACTCTGAGTCAGCAAGAGATGCTAGTAAGATGGGGCATCTTGTGAGTCACCTACTGTGGAAACTTGGGGCCAAAATAAGCCAGTTGTTCTGCCATACATGGATCTGAAGGCCATGTGAGCACAGCTGCAATCACACAGACCGGGATGCAGGCTTTAGGGCTTGTTTCAAAGCCAACGGTGCCACGTCTAGCAGCTCCTCTGACAAACCTGTGCATCTTTACGAAATGAAAAAACTCAAATAATCAGGCACTTATGAGATAAAGACAAATCATTTTCCAAAAACAGTAAGACAAAATTCCATTTGTATTTCAATACTATACAGATTAATTATGGAGTCCAAGCCCTATACCTTTATCTGAGTGCTTTGCATTCATTTAAGTGTACTCTACTCGTTATATGTAAGATTGACCACATTGATCAGCTTATGAACAGAAGCCGACAGGTAGTTCCAGGCTGCCCTGTGTAGTATTTTACCCGATCCAGTCTTTGTACAATTTCCATTGCAGTTCTCTTAGCCCATTATGTGTAACGATATATCTCAGTATTTGCTTGTTAATCCAGTGAAATGTGAAAGTGAAGGGCAACTTGGGTTAGCATTTAATCTCATGTTTAAACCTATTTACAATAAAAAAGGAAATGATCAACATTGCAGCTTCAGGCTCAGTTGGTCAGGAAGGACTGTATGCTGCTATAATTTAAGTAAGACAAAGGAGAGGAAGGAAGATATGCTAATTACAGTGATGGTGTGTGGTTCAGTGGATGAAGTAATCAGAAGGTTGATAGTTTAAATCCCAAACATTGCAGAGTGATGTCACCATTGGGCCCCAGACCAAGGTCAGTAACCCCCAGTTGCTCCAGGGACTGTCTGATCCTACTTTCTCAGAAATGTAAGTAGGTTATTTTTATTTATTTATTTATTTTAAAAAAAGCTATGTATATTGGATAAAATCATTGGCTAAATTAATGTAATGTAAACTCCAGCAGTTATTCCTATAAACTGTGTCAGATTTCCAGTAGGTTATATATGCACACAGAAGGAGGGCTGTGAAAAGGCAGCAAAAACATGAACTTTATACAAATCGTCACACTTATATAAGAACATTGCATTTGTTTTGAATTACAATGTATGCCAGACTTATCAATCACAGCAAACCTCACACACATAAACAAGTCCACGTCTATACGCACACCCAAGACTGCTGTTATTCTCTTTACAATAATCCAGGCATAATAAAATGCTTCCTTTTGCACATTTCCTTTTTGCTACTCCTCAGTTAAAAGAGGAACTTATTTCAATTGCAAATATGTCGTCCTTGAAAAATTTGCCTCTTCATTATTTTAACTCTTTTAATTTAGTAATGGATTTGAATATCAATGTGATGTATCTGCAGTTCATTATTTTAAAGATACATTCATCAACTGAACAATTAACCTAATGTATGGTGATGTTGGGTTGTGTATTTTTGCTTTATGTCTGCCCCTTGCCAGACGGAATGTCTTGCAAGAGCTGTCAGTACAAATAAATAATCTTCCTTAGTAATAGCTAGCTAGCTCCACTGCCTACTCTGCACATGTGTAACAACCAGATTTCTCTTTCAGGATCTCCGTAAAAGAGTCAACCATGCTTCTCATCTCCTGGACTTCACTGGTGCTTCCCCTGTATTGATACTTTAAGCTGACCTTGTTGAAGAACCAGATGATAACTTTGGTTCACAATGGCAGCAATTTAGGGTAATATGTACTGACAGTGAATTCTGCCCATGATCTTTCACGATAAGCAAAATAACTTGGAGTGAGCAATCAATAGCAAAACTGAGAATGAAACAAGCATACCGCTGATGGACTGTCAGATAGGTAATGTCATTTTCATGCCAAATGATCCAAAGAGAGCACAGCTGACACACATTTTACTTCTATAGATAGTGTGTATCCCTTCACTAGGAAACAACATCTCATCTGTGACCCACAAACGAAGCCACTGGAGGATAACACTCCACTGCGCCGTCGCTGATGCAACTGCAAACAACACAGACCCTCTTCTTCTCAGATATGAATGCTGTTGCAACATCTTGTTTGAAGAGCAGCAATCATTCCCTGATTCTAATATTAGTTTCCATTATTGTTATTATAAACATCGTAAAAAAAGACTGATGGCATTCTTTGCTCTCAATTCCATTTCTGACTAAGGGTGTAGTTCTCACCGTGATCCTTATATGTTCTACAGTTCAGCATGTAAGATACATGAATTACATGTGTGTATAAAGCTTCATTTCCATTTAAGTATATTGTTCGTTCAGTATTTCTCTATGCTCTGATTACGTTTTTCTAAAATCTTTTTTTTTAGTTCTAAAATTAACATTTTATTATGTATGTAGAATGTAAATAGCTAAAACAAGTAGGGGCTGTATTTACTTCTGCTTGGATATTGTTGATGGGGTCAGATTTATTTTTTGAAACAGGAACCATGCTTTTAAATTGACACCTTAGAACACTTGATGTGTTTTTTGCAAAATTGACTCGAATCATTTTTGACTTGGAGTTACAAAAAATCCCTGAATGTCCTTTTCGAACAAGGTAGTATGGGTATTAGTTTAAAAAAATGCGTTACAGGAAAATTGACATGGAGACACTCGTTATATCTTATTTCATAATTTTTAGTTAAACCGATGTCTTCCATCAAAGAATAGGACTTTGGCTTGTTACTATTACTTTCCTTTCACTTTCCCTTACACGTATTTGTTTGGTCCGACATATTGAATGACACATTATCGAGATGCCCTGCCTCTCTTTTAAGAACCAAAGTCATGTGGCCTACCGCCGGCGTACAGCGATTGGTGGAGACATGTCATGTGATTCGATTGTAAGCCTATGACGGAGACCGATGAGGTCGGAGTAGTGTACCCGGAAAGCTGCTGTCTGCCGCTCAAAGAAAAACGCTATGAGGGTTTCCAGTTAGGTAAAAGTGTCTATTTTTAAATGTTATTTCTGTACCTGCAATGAATGACATGTATTATGCGTGCATGGATCACATCTCTGGCTGTATTGTTTCCTAGTTAATTGCAGGCAGCTGGATCTCACCATCGCTTCGTCCTTATCAGGCCTCATTTGCAGTGTCAGATGAAGTACTTTACCTTACTTTACCTTCCTTTTTTCTACTCTCCGCTGTGAATGTTGCTCCTTCCTGATCAGTTTTTGGGCTAAGTTAATTTTTGTTCTATGTGTAAGTGCGTGACATAGTAAAAAAGACTCCTGTAAAAATGGGAATCGTTTTAGTGGAATTTCATAGCCGTACAAAAACTTAAGGACATTAACACAGCTGCTAATGTATAACCAAGTAACAAACTTAAATGGCAAATCGCTTATTTTGAATAGAATTATGTTTGTACCATGTCGGTTATTGAATTAAGCTGGTTATTCAGATGCAGTTGTTCACTTCTCTTTTTATTGTCTGTTTGAAATAAGATATTTATAATATTGCAGTTTGAAATAGCTGGAAGCCAATAATATGTCATTACTTTCCTTATACATGTGGATATATAGATGCTTAAATTACAAAGCATTCAGTAGCGGCGTAGAATCGGCCCAGTTTGTTAGAATTTGTCCATATGTGGTTTTAAATTGAAATAATAATAATACACTTTTATTGATCTCCGCGGGGAAATTCCTTTCGCCTGTCCTCCATGATAAGTAGCAACATTCAGTTGTTCTGACCAAACAACATATGCATGACGTGTTAACATTACATTTAAACTTGTATGCATGACTAGTACTATCCAGTCGTTTTTAATCAAACAAAAGCTTTCACTTTGTCAACTTTAGATGAAATTATGCGCTGTTTAACATTTTAATTTAGGAGACACTTTTATCCAAAGTAATGCACTTTTTTTTAGAAAGCAGGGTGAGCCAGTTAAGGGCCCAACAGTAAAATTACTTTGCCCTCCATGAAATCCCTCTGCTGACCCTGAGATTTGAACGGACAACCACCAATTTCTATCTGTTTCTGTTCCAGTAATGGGTCAGGAAGCCGGCAAGTCCGCTTGGCCCAAACCCGCCGGCGGGTATCAGACGATCACCGGGAGGCGCTACGGCAGGAGACACGCGTACGTCAGCTTCAGGCCCACCCAGGCGCGGCGGCAGGCGGAGCTGACAGACGGGCCCTCGGCCTGGCAGGGCATGGAAATGGACCCGGTCCGCGGAGGGAAGCCGCTAAGTGCGTCCGCGTCGCCCGTATCGGATTTAGCGCTAAACCCTTTTTATTGTTACTGCTCGCTTGGGCGTCTGCCGACAACCCGGAATACCGCTTAGCACCAGTGGACATCATTCGCAACGTTTGAAGTGTATGAATACCATAAAAAATAAGTCACAGGTTAATCGTGTGTTTTTTTTTCTTTTATTAATGCTTAATTATTGGCCATTGAAGCGTTTACCAAATAATGTGCCTTTTAGTATAATTTTTAGGATGGGTTTGCAGTCCCTGCATTCGAACGCTTTGTGGGTGCGGACTTTACTTGATTATGTACTGTCAGTTTCTAGTCCTGACAGATCCCGATAACTGCTAGTTACCTTTCGCAGCCCTGTTGACTGATTTGAGTGCAGATTTCATGAATTATCCCATTTCATAAACCACCTGCACCATCGATACATACAAGGTCTGTAGAGTGAAGGTGTTTGAAAATTAGCGGGATTGACTCTTAAATTAAGTGACCTTGTCCTTTTCTCCCTTCTTTTGCTCGTCCTTGTTCGTGCCTTAAAAAATTGCCATTGAAAAGTTGCATGAAATATTGAGGCATGTGTCCTCAGAAGGTGGTGGATATGTAGAGTCCGAGATGGCCGAATCAGCACGCTGCAGTGAGGTGTCCTCTGACATATTGTATGTAGGAGGGAAATCTATCCATTATTAATTGACAGATGCCTGTGTATTACTTGGAGGCATATTTAATACTTTGAAGTTAAATGAATGTAAGATGAGATCCCAAAAATATGCCTTTAATAATGGGCATTACTCTGTGTAAACTTTTGAATGCTGCTTGTCTGTTGTGATGTATTAAAAGTGCAGCATGATTGCAGGGTTAGGTAAACGAGAGGCTTTAAAATTGTGTGATTGAAATAACATCCCATGTTAAATACAGTGCTGATTTTAGCTGCATAAATTCTGCAATGACTGCATTCTAACTTAAGTTATGGTAAAATTTTAATTGAAACATGAGAATGATTCTTAAGCTTGAAATTTCTGGCTATTACATGCCTGTGTAATATTCTTTGAAATGAATGCTTGGTGCTTCCATTGATATGTAAATTTTGATTACAGTACATCCCGTTCTTAATTGATATCGTAGTAAATTTATATGTTTGAGGCATTTTTCAGCACAGAAATGAGTATTGCAATAAGTGAGTTTTATAAGTGCTGTTTGAAGCTCAGTTTTGAAATGAATTAAACTGACGCTCTCTGTTCCCGTTTTAGCTTCAAAGGGGAGCATCTCATCCGTGCTGCAGGCAATCTTCCCGGTGAGCCCCAATTCCGTTCACCCGGAAGAAGATGCAAAGGGAGACGTGTTTAAGATGAAGCGGGCTGGCTGCGTGGCGCCACCATGTGGCCGAGGCAGGGACTGTGAGCCCATGCCGTTGCCGAAACTGGGGGAGATCTCGGATGCCCGTGGGTGGCCCATGCCCAGTGAAGGCGATGTATGCAGCTCCAGCGCACTGAGCTTTGTGAACACTGAACCTCACAAGGCACACAGTAGTGACAGCGATGAGGAAGCTGGCTCAGACTTGCCACTGAAACAGCTGGATAAAGAGTTTGACCAACCTAATGCTTTTCACTCTGCTCAGCAAACTCCCTCATGGGGGGGCAGGGGGCCATCACCCAGACTTGGGGCCTTCCAGAGAGATGCTGAGTTCCTCTGTCAGGACGGACCCAGTTTTCATAGTAGAATCTCAGCAGATGAGGACAGGGACTCTTGGGCTGCTGTTCTGGGGGATGCAGAGACATGTGGGTCCCCAGTTGGCTGTGACTGTGACCCAGAGATGACCCCTACAGAGATGGTGGTCCGGCCAAAGATCCGCAAGCAGACTGATGAGAACCCAAAGGAGAGGAGGAGGATCCCCCCAGGAGGGGAGACCAGGTGTGGGTCCATGCCGCCGAAGGAAAGCCCAGAAAACTTCCCTGTTTACGATCCTCAGACTGCTGGAACCAAGAGTGGCATGTGGCAGAGGACAGAGGCAGATGCGTCAGGTGGGACAGACGAGGATGACATCTGGGAGGATCTGGAGGATTATGGCTACAAGCAGGGTGCCTTCCGGAAGGGAGATGACAGGTACGGTGTTTACACGCTGATTCCGGCTCCTTTCGCCGTGTGTGTGGTGAGATGCGGTAGTGAAATCACGCCTCATTCTCTGCACAGCCATTACTTGGGCCGATGCTGTTACTCTGGCTTACGTTCGCTGACTTTTTTGAGAGACGACATGCATGTATTTTAGCTGGGCAGCTTTTGTAGACGAGTAGACAGATGTAGAAGGGGAGCATTGATGAGGTGCCAGATTTTTGTGTCGCTGTTGATGGAAGTTTTGTTTTCTCATTGGTGCACATTTAGAAAATTAACTGTACCTGATCGGTACTTTATATTCACATTAGCAGCTTTCAACTTCATAACTGTACAACACAAATTGTCTCAAAAAATAAAAGTACAACAAATATCCATTGTGGTGCAGCTTCAAAAAAAAAAAAAAACCTGTTCTGTACTAGTGAGGGTGGAGGGTCTTCAAGTACTGGTTTATATATGGTCGCCATTACCATGTGTGCATGTATAGCACTGCAGCTCCACCTGCCACTTTCCAAATGGCGGCGCACGGCTGTGCAGCTGAAACGCCTCCCTGTGTCAATGTGGCAGCTCCCAGTGCAGCGAGGGGGAGCTCTCTGCCTCTTGGACATCCGCCTCCAGCGCTGAGAAGGAGCCCTCCTCGGAGAATGAGAGCTGGGAGACGCTGCCGGGCTTCGAGTCCGAGCCAGAGGGCCGGAGCGATGGCAGCAGCTTGGATGACGTGCCGGAGCTGAGGCTTGTCTCGCCGTGAGTGCCCTCCCGGCGCCCCCTGAATCGACATCCTTTTGCTTATTCTCACGGGTAATGCTGCTTCAGTGAGTCGTTCTAACAGCAGGGCCTGTTATTCACAGCTTATTCCATAGCTTGGTGGGAGACCAGCAGCATGTTTGCTTTTTTTTTTTTTTTTTTTAATTTATTAGCATAATAGGCATAATTATGTCTGGGTATTTGAATTTTTGGCACGGATGCACCTTTACAGTCTGCTCATCTGTTTTAATGGGATCATGTGACATTCTGCAGGGACCAATCAGCACTGGAGGAAGGTGAGCTCCCCTGGCCTCCGTACCACGAGGGGGCAGCGAGCAGCAGTAGCAGTAGCAGCAGTGACGAGGAGGCCGATGCCCCCAGCCGCTTCGTTCACCCGGGGCTCTTTATGCTCGACGGGAACAACAACTTGGAGGATGACTCCAGTGTGAGCGAGGATCTGGACGCGGAGTGGAGGTCTGTGATTTATACAGCTGAGAGGAATCCCTTCTTGCCTATAACCTGCGCACTGGGGCCCAGTTTCTGGTTTCTGGGGCCCGGTTTGTGGTTTCTGGGGCCCCATTCAAAAAGTCACCCCCAATAAACATTAATAATTTAATAAATTAAATGGCTCATGAGTAGCATCAGAAGATTGCAGCTAGCTGGTTAGCAGAACTAAACATCTCCTATATAAGGAACAAATGTATTATTTAGTGTAGTAACTGTTTGTCGTCAACTATGGGCCCTCAAACCTGAAGTTCCTGGCATTCAGTGAAAGGAAATGCATTCTGGAGATAAATTTTATTATAGCACTAATGTGTCCATTCACATAGGAATTTATATCCAACTTTCCCGCATAAACGTTTGTGGTGCAATTGCTGTGCATAGTACTGGTCAGACATGTATGGAGATGTCAAAGTATTAAATTGTAAACAAATCATCTTAAATGAATCCCTAAATTGGCTAGGGTGCCCTCTCCACCCCTCCTTGCTTGCTGGACCTGGTGGTCAGCCAGGCTTGAAATTCACACCCGCAGGCCGGCGATTTGATTGAACAGGCGGCACTTAGTGTTCCCACTTAAGCTAAAAGGGAAAATTAATGAGCCTCTGTAGGGGCAAATATAAAATCACATTTACATTAATGCGCTAAAATGAGTCAGTGTGTCCCCTGAAGAGGACAAAGGCTCAGCGCAGGCTGCTTTCTGTGCGCAGTGACGCGTCGGTGACTCTGCTGAGAGTCCTTCATGTTTGAAATACGTGGGCGTTTTTCTGGAAGCCTCCTGGGTTGGCTTCCCCGAGGCCAGGACGACAGCGGAAAACCATCTGGAATCGCTCAGACATTACAAGTTGATCTCAGAGCCCATTCTGTCCTGCATTAGAAGCTTCGCCATCAAGAAAATGAGTTGCTAAAAACCAGCTGTAAGCTGTGAAGTCCCCCCCCCCATTAAATTACAGTGCTGTGACATTTATGCCTAGAGAAACAAGTTCAGTTCATCACATTATTTTGCTTCTGTGTGGAGCTATATATGGTATAGATGCCAAGAATTTGCTGAAGGAAAATTTTATCAATAGCTCACTGGTCTTGTTACTATACTTACATTTATTTTGTTAAATGGTTGAAATGCTTTTTTTTTTTTTTTTTGATAAGAAAAAGAAAACATTACAATGTGTGGGTAATAGCCTGCTGCGTGGCGTGGAGCAAACTGTGGGTGGTGCTGGTCAGCCCATTAGGCGATACTGGCAGCCACCTAGGGCGCCACCTGCTGAGGGGGCACTGACATAGCAATTCCTCTGATTACAATTCTGTTGGGAATGGAAGTACTTGGCGGAGACTATAGCTGTAGATGAAAGACCTATTGGGGGGAAAAAAAACTGAACAACGGTGAATCAATACTAGCAAAGAACTAGTTTATTTTATTGAAATGTATGGGAATTTCTCTTTTTGGGCTTGTTTTTTGCCAGACTGATTTCCATGTATAATGGGCTGCTCTGCTCCCTCCAATGTCCTCCGACTGTTTCTGGGTTAGTGTACTGGGTTAGTATAGTTACTCTCTGGTTAATGGTGTACCCATTGGCTTTAACTTTATGATGTACATGAGCCGGGCGTTTTGACCGCAGGCGGCTCGATGACCTAGGGGACGGCTTTGGCATGGCACAGGCCATCTCCTTCGTGGATCCACAGCTGCTGACATACATGGCTCTGGAGGAGCGGCTGGCACAGGCCATGGAGGTACAGGCCGCCTGGGGGGGTCTGAGCCCAGTAGAATAGCACAACACTGAAAGAAGGCACTCGTAATAAGGCTATCAGAGCTCCTAATGGTAAACAGCATTAGACATTCTGATGCTTGAGTCTTTCTGCAAATAATTCTTAACAGGTAAATATTACAGGCCAACATCTGTTATTTTAAGGTCAGTTAATTACAAAACGAGTGCCTCTGGTTTTCAAAATATCTTAATGTTGACATAGAGCAGGCTGAACTGCTTTTAATGTCCATCGAAGTTTTCTCTCCGGAAAGACAAACAAGGGTGCATCTGAGGTCCTGTATGTGTGTAAATGCCTCGGCTCCTTCCGAAGGTGGCTTTGGCGCACCTGGAGTCCCTGGCGATGGACGTGGAGCCAGCTCACCCACCCGCCAGTGACGACGTCATCGACTGCCTGCCCCCCATCACTGTGATGGAGGACTGTCACGGTGGGTCTCTGCTGGACCACAGTGCGAGTCCCCGTCTGTGGGAAACCTTTGGATGTCAGCCATACCTGAAAGTACATTGGAGAAACTGACCATCGTGTTCGTAGGTGTTGGGTGGGTGGTGGTGGTGGGGGATGGTGGGGGGGGGGGGGGTGTTTTAAAACTTCCACAGCATAAATCATGTTTGACATTCCCTTGACAGTAAGTAATGGATAGCTTTGGGTGATACCAATGACTGACATGTCATAGATCACAACGTATGATTATGGTTCAGTATAACCTTCTATCAGGCTCCCGTACAACCGCCCCCCACCTTGGGCCCCTTTCCTGGGTGGCCCCAATGGCGGCTGGATGCCGGCCTGCCCTACGTCTAAACATTGACACAGTGCCATTAGCGCCGTTACACATCCGGGGCCTGATTCCACATCCTGTAACAGCTGCAGACCGGAAATCACTCACGTCGGATTGCCTCCCCTACAGGCAAAGAGCAGTGCTGCGCCATCTGCTGCAGCGAGTACGTCAAAGATGAGATTGTGACGGAGCTGCCGTGCCGGCACGCGTTTCACCGGAGGTGCGTGACGCTGTGGCTGCAGAAGGTACGGCATCTCCTTGACCCGGCGCATTCCTGTCCAGCTGTGTGTTCATGCTGCTCGCCCGTTTGGTGTGATATCAGGTCTTTCAGCAGCAGACAGCTGCGACATCAGCCTCTTTCCTGCATAATTACGTCTCTCTACTGTCAACGTGTGGAGGGAGGAGGGGTCTGTGTGCATTTTCATTATCGTGATGATATGCATTGGGGGAAAAAACTGTCTAAACACACTCTGTGACCCTGACTATGATAAGCAGTCAGACGTTTTTATAAACATGGACTCCTCAGTATGTTAATTGCTCAGACCTTTTATAATGAATTCAACATGGTATGCAAGATAATTTTAAAGGCATTTTTGGTCAGTAAGCTCCTCTGAACATTTAGCCCTTAGGTGACCATATTATGTCTCAGTTGTAGGCTTATAAACATCTGACTGATCAAATATTGCCTTGAATATCACTGACCTCTGTTTGTGGGCCATTATATAAAGAATGATGGTATTACGCAATATTTAAATATTCAGAGGCAAAGTGACTGTGCTGATGGCGCTGAAGCTTCCAGGTGACTGGTGACGTGCCAGCTTTGGCTGCTGAGTTGGACCTTTGCCCTGTCTTCCCCTAGTCGGGAACTTGTCCTGTGTGTCGGCACGTCCTGACGCCTGGCCCTCCAGCAGCCCCGGTCCAAACATCCTTTGTGTCTGATCACGAGGCGCCGCCATCGGACCACAGCACGGCAGGGACACGATGAACGACCCATTCTAAGCTACTCCTGCTCATTAAGTGACAGAACGCAAAAGATTTGCTGGCTTCTGTGAATTACTGAGACTGACGTTAACAAAGAAACAGGGACATGTCCTTTTTTAGAGGACCCAAACGAATCAGCCTGCACAGCTTTTATTTTTATAGAGTAAATGGAATTACAGAACATACTGTAGACATTCTTCCAAAATTGTATCAGTCATACAAATGTGAAAAATAACAAACTTAAACTGATTCTACTGCACTGAACTACACAGCAGGATCAGACCAACCACTCTGTATTTAATGTGCTAAACTGTCTGTAGACCAGTGCACTGCTTATTATGTAACATTATTCTACTAATTTACTAAGTGATTCTGGCTTCAGTGTGAAATGAAGGCTTTAGATCGTTATTTCTGGCCAGTTTGGGGCATGAATACATTTTTATGTTGTTGGATCGGTTTTGCTGTCTGGTGGCTGTACTGTAGTTTCGTCTGGTGTGGGAGTGTGTAGTGAAGTGACTGTCTGACCAAGGACTCGTTTGGGGAAAGCGTGCTTCCGCTGGAAGACAAATGTGCCACACGTGATTGCTGAATGCCCCCAAGCTTCCTCCAGTATTATCTTCAGACTTACAATTGTAAAGATACAACGGATCAAACTTACGAAGCTGTGTGTGACTCCTGTTACGGTTTTTACAGTAACCGTTAATCGATACCCTGGATTTGGTTCTGTTTCAGATTTCGGCACAGCTCCACCGTCTGGCAGTGTATTGCGCTGTTTTTAGGCTATGCCTGGCTGTACACACACTTGCCTTGACTTGTTTCATAAAAACGTCACAAGAAATAGGCCTGAACAAGGAGGACTGGTTTCTTGTGGTCTTAGCACTTGGGGGGGGTGTATATAATTTGTAAAGTGCTAAGCAGTGGAATAAAAAAATGCAACCACGTAATGCAAGCCTATCTGCCTTTTTGTCAGGTGCATGGATTGTACAGTGTGTTTAAAAAAAAAAAAAAGTCTTGCATTCCAAAATGTTAACTCTTAAGACATCGCCATATTTGTGTTTAATGCATACTCATTAATAACTAGTCTACAACTGCAGTAAGTGTCGTATTTTTTTTTTCAGTAACTGTAAATGTTCTCATTTTTTACAAATAAGCATGACCAGTTAATTTGTCATTTCCACAGCCTGTTTCCTGAACCTGAACATTAATAAATGGAACAAAGCTTGTATTTTTATGTTAAAATGCAGATGGTTTCCTTTAAATATTTACCCTCATGCTCATTAAAACCTCTTTGGTCGTAATTAAAATGTATTGCTAAATTAAAATTAAGGCTCAATATGTTGACCTCTGTATAGAATCACAGCGTGTATACGGTAAGTGAATTGTAGCGATACGCTATTTGTGTAAGAGGGGTCTGGCATTGAGGTACTTAATTTCATGCATGGTTCCTTAAGGCCACACCCAGACAGTCTATAGCCAAAATGAATCACAGCTATATTTTTTACATGTAAATTGTACTACTACTGTCAATAGCTACTGTATATGCATTTCTGTAGTTAAATTCTGCTTCAAATACACAATCACATATGAAATTCATTAAAAGATTTACCAGTAACTACAGTTTGGTTACTGAAACATGACAAATCACAAATAGTGGCAAATACTTTAATGGATTAACAAGAGAAACTGTACAAAGTAATACAAAAGGCTATGAATACAATCTGGGAAAATGTTAAAACAAAGATTTAATTAGTGGTTTCTGATATTGTCCACAATTGTTTTCACTCACAGGCAGGTGATATCAGATGTGTCTGTCAGATTTGAATTTTAAAAGGGACTGAAATACAGCATCAAATCTCAGCAAAACCAATAAGAATAAATCATTATATTCCCCCAAAAGTGATTGTGCCTCTCATTCATCCAACTAGAGCCAGGATGTGCATGTCAAATATTCTTTACTTTGACTGCCCATTCAATTATTAATCACTATGGAGAAAATGAGCAGGAAATTTGACAGCACTAGAAAAGCGTGTAAAAACTATTAGTGTTCTTTTTAAAACGATTAGTATTTAAGAAAAATTACATCTGAAAATAGCTTTAGTATATATTTTATACAATTACATTTTTAAGAAGGCAGCAATGTTTAACAGTGAAGTGTAAGTGAATTGTAACATGGAGTGTAAAAGTGTCAGTATCAACTTGGAATTATCTGCATCAAATTAAGTTACGCTTTTATTTCTGGAAACTAATCCTGAATAACAGCAAGTTGGTGTTTGTGAACCAAGGTGACAAGTCTTAACGAATGTTAGTCTCTAAACGACAATATGGTCATACGTCATCGTTGAGCAACATCAAAGGGCGGTAAAACATGTCAACTACCTTAAATGAAAGCTACGTAACTGCAGTGACTGCCTCGTCACCGAAATGCCTCATTGGCCTGAGAAGCGGTAGTGTGCATGACAAACGTAATGCAGGCACTCCTCTGATGCATGCTTACCCTTAGTGGCCAAAACCAATTTGTTATATCAATGAAATTAACAGTTAAATTATTCTTATACTGTTGTGGCTCTGGACCCAAACAACAAAATTAGTTGCTGGCTTCATATTTCCACAAACCATAATAGGCCGACATTTGTACAATGTACAAAGGTTTTTTTTTTTTTTTTTGCCAAGAATGTTGGGAAAATATATTAAAGGACATTCAGATTCAGCTGGTGTAGGGATCTTATTTTAGGAAGGAAAAAAGCTTAACACTGAAAAACCTTATCAAAATAAACATATGTACATTTTCCCAACCATCAATTTCCCTCAAGAAAAAATGGAATAGTATGGTGACAAGAAGAACCCTTAGAATGAATCTGCATGATGATTAAAGAAAACATAGGCTTAGGGACATAACACACAGGCGCCAGATAAATTTAATAAAAGAAGGGTAATTATGTACATTATTCCTACAATGTCCCAGGTGATATTATGTTTTGCCATCTGGATATCTTAAAAAAAATACCCATGCATTGCACTTAAATCAACAGTGTTTTGTTCACTTTAAATCGGAGGTGTACTACAGTAGGGAAGTAGACCCAAGAGAGAGCTCAACAGAAAGTAACACCTCCCGATTACAGCACAAGAAGCAGGTTTCCATGCTATTTTCCTCTAAACACCCTCCCCCGCAAGGCCCCCCAGCCCGGAACCATCTACTCGATATGCGCATCACACACAGGCGCCGTGCCTTCGGCTGCTGGACCAAGCAGCAGATGCTAGATGTGCCCGTGGGGATCAGGGTGTGAAATGAGACCCCGTTCAGCAGTTCAAATGTCAACGATGAACAAACTCATGGAACAGGTGAGAAATCCCCCCCAAAAGGTGAAATGCTTATGCTGACAGGTCAGTTTCCAGGATATTGGATGCATTATATTTTTCTGAAAATCTTCCTCACCATAAAATACGAGATATAACTGAAGGCCTGTAAAAAGTGCACTCTTACATGAAAGGGTCTCTACCTAGCTTTTCTTTGAATTATTTGGCAACAGGTCCTAAAGTAAGTACTTAATCTCGAACTTAACACAGTAGATCTCAACACAGCTTTGTGGGACCCTGACGGGTCTCTATTACAGTGAATTCAGGAGTCACGACTTATTCAGTACTACGCAAAAGATAACAGACCTACTTATTACAACCATCCAATTTTCACAGCAAAACAACAGCCTGTTTTCTCTTTGCAGTCTCCTGCGTCAACATGGGGGGCGGGGGCGGGGGCGAAGGAGGCTTTCTGCTCCATAAGCCTGCACTCAAAAACTTAATAAAGTAATAAAGTATGCCTCATTGATAGTACAGCACCATTTGATTATTTTTGAGGATGTCACAGGTCTGTAAGTGCATACACGCTACGCTTGTCAAATAAAACTTTGACAAGTTACAGGAGGGACTAAGCTGCTTAAGCATTAATGATTGTCCATATAAACTAAAGTAAGAAAGGCCTGCGAGTCTAAAATCAATGACAAGACTTATTTGGGAAGATTACCATACATGGCGTGATAATATTGCAGGGAATGGTAACAAAACGAAGCGGTGCCAGCTGCATTTTAATCCGTATCAATCCTGGTACAGTATGAACAGAAGTAATTTGGATTAGACTGAATCGGATTAGTGGCCATCAGTGGAATTAGTAGAATAAAATCATTATCAGAACAATCTTGACAATGTAGCTGATGAAGAGTTTAAACAGCATATATAACAGTAGTTATATATTTCCAATATTTATTTTACTGGTGTGAAAGGTGACTTTTGTAAAGCAGTAAAAGCATTTCTGCTGCAAGCAGTAGTGCTTTGAAACTGCATGACTGAGCACTCTGACACAAAGCACCATCTTACCAAAAAGAAAATACGCTATAAACTCTAAAGCAATCTGACAACTCTAATGTTTTACCAAGAACTTTAAAATGCCTTTATTTTAAAAACTCAATCGTCACCCAGAAGCCAGCAGAGATATGTCAGACCAGTCGTGACTATCCCAATTCATGGAATCCTTGTGCAAATTCCTGTTATCTACTGTAAGACATTTCACCTGTTAGATCCAATTAACGTTGGTAACCACCATTTTATTCCAAAATAAATAATGCAATTAAAAAAACACCTACATTTGTCTGAAAAACATTGTATGTTAAACAGCACAGCCAGTCAGCAATGCATTCACTGGACGAGTTGCATTTGACGGGATCGTTGCAAGTAAAAAATAATGGTTTCATGCCCTTCTTGTGCTCACAACTTCACAACATAATCGTGGAAGAAAAGAGCACAGCATTTCCGTATACAACTGTAGACATAAATGCTGTACTGGTTAGATTCTTTTATTGTTTAATGGCACTCCCAATGTTATTAGTATGTATTTGGCTGTGATAAATTGGTCAAAGGGTACAGGTACTGTAAAAGTGCTTACATTCAGTATGCTGAGACAGTATGTCAAACATTACACTGCAGACAAGTCACTCTGCATTCACTTCATCTCACTACATCCTTTATTACAAACAGTCCTTGTCGATGTCACCGTCTGATTTTTTTGGACAGTTTAAAGAGAAAACCCATAGTAAAAAAAAAAAAAAAAAAGAAGAGCTGAAACATGACAGAAATCTATTAGGATAACATTTAACCTACATATTTAAAACAAACTACAGGATCTATCATGTTTACACATATACAAATATTTATATTGGCTGCAAAATGTCATTGGCCCCTGACTTATGAAACGTGTGGCGGTAACAGTAAAATGCTCTCCTGTTAGCACACAGACACAATGGATTGTTATTAAATCACTGACTTTAATGCAACATTTCCCTGGCAGCTGAGGTCATTCCTGTATCCATGTTGATATCTTGTATGGCTAAAATGCCTGTCTGCTCTGACTGGGAAACTTTCCGGTATACTCCTAATAGTCGGGAAGTTACTATTTCTGGGGTAATTCCACTAAAAATCCATCACAGGTCGACCTCACTGGTTTGCACTTTTATTTCAGCATACAATCTACATACAGGAGAAACGTTTACAGTGAAATTTCAGCCCTGGGTCACCCACTGGTCTTGAGACCCATGTAAGTGAAACCTTTTTTTGGTTTGTGTTTTCACAGTCCTGCATCTCAAAAAAAGACATTAAAGCGAATGGCTTTTAATAGCTACAGGTTGTATGGCAAATGTGTAGGACATTAGGACTCAGTCCATGTAAAGCTAATTAATTAAATTAGATGTATTGTTTAATCACCCTACAAAAGTCAAATCTTGTCCTTTCAAGCTGCATGCATCAGGGGAAAGTAAAACATCTCCTAAATGATGACGATGATGTTGGCATGCACCCTAAACACTCATTGGAGTTTTACTTACACAAAAATGTTCTGAGGGGAGATGGAAAAATGATTGGTCCAGGGAGATAACCAATCAGATTCTACAGGAGGTGGGTCCAAGAAACTAGAAAAGGCAGGAACAAACCAATCACTAATCTAACTGGTTATCTCTCTGAACCAATCATTGTTCCTTCTGCTCTCAGAAGAGTTTTATGCAAGTAAAATTCCCACAAGCCACCGAACCAAGAAACGTTTACAGTCATTAAATCGGCCAGACAAAACACGTTTTCTATTTACAGCAGGGTGGGATACAACATTTGCATATAATGTCAGAGTAGGATGAGGTGTACAAAACAGACAGGGGAAACACTATCCGTGAGGGAGCTGTTTAAAGCTGAGACAGCCTGGCAAAATAGTTATGCTGTTACCTTCACAGCTGGAATGTACATAAACCAGAATCAAGACACGTCTCCTCAGCTACCGTGACATATTTTAAAATACAAATGATCTCTTTTAACAGACATATCACAGCAGCAAGCCTGTCTGAGTTGTCAGTTTCACCTTGTGTTTCTTCGGATTCTTTTTTTGTCAGTAACTGTGTCTGATGGATATTCACATTTCGGCCAATCCTCAAATGTATCACCTTTTATATCACTCTTCAAAAATGGAC